TGTACAAGGGGCATTCTGATACACGAACATTTAAAATGGATCATGCTGTGCTAACATCAGGCCAGAGAAATGCAGAGAGGGTCATATTATGTAGGACTGCAATAAGTTGTCTACAATAAAGAGTAAAGTGTCATGAGACCTTTGAGGTGGAAACACACCGGAACTTAGAAAAAAAAACAAAACAAAACACACAGAGTAGGTGGAAACTGACCGGTCATGCTCTATACAAGGTCTATGTACAAGGGATCCAGGAGAAGGAAGCCAAGAGCTACTTTACCTACTAACATTGTATGAGTATTTTACTTTTAACAGGAGAGAACCAAAAAAAAAAAAAAAAAATGTCAAGTGTATGCTATCTGGGCTCCCTCAGATTTTTTTTTCTTTTATTGGCCTGGCAACAAGGATTTCACCAGAAAGGAGGGAAAAATATGCAACAGTAAAAACATCAGAAATGTAAATGTAAGTAGAGGCAAGGCTAGAGCCCCTGTTAGCTTTTACTGCTTACAATTATGTACTTTGTGAGAAATGAATCAAGGTTTCTTCGGTGACATCCATTTACCTGTACATCTCTACAGTAAAATCTTACAGTTAAGCAAGGCAAACAGGAGAATTAATGTGGTTGTAAACCGCAGAAAAATACAACAAAAAAATCTTCTCCCTGCAAGTTAAGAGCATAATGTGCTAGTATGCATCGCATCGCATACTAGCACATTATGAAAGACTTACCTTAGAACAAAGGTCCCCAGCATAGCGCTGTCTCGGCTCCCCAGGGCTTACATCTTCACCCGGTCTTCTTTCTGGATTTGTGGGCTGCCGCCGTTTGACTGGCTGAGCCATGATGTTACTCCCGTGCAGAAGCCTCGGCTCTCCCAAAGGATGGCACACTGTCGGTGACATCACTGACATTACTAAAGTAAATATCTCCCAAACGGTGCCAGTTTAGGAGATATTTACTGTACCTACAGGTTAGCCTTATCTGTAGGTACAAGAGAAAAAAAAAACCTACTTTACTACCACTTTAAGTAGAACCATAGTCAAAACTTTTTTTTCTATTTTGAATACAGCAAGGGAAGGTTATAACCTGTCAATTGTTTTTGTCATTTGTGACCTATTTCAGAAATTTCCCTACACTTCCTCTTCCATAGCCGAAAAGGAAGTGGGAGGAAATCCAATGCAAATCCAAATGAGATGGAAATGCAAATTAAGGGAATCCCTAGGGGACCTTCAGGTCACCAGAATTAGTGATCTCATTGGAAAATTTCCTCTCTATTACCTTTCTGGGGACAACACAAAATTTGGGATTTTCTTTACTTTCACTTTCAGTGATAATGGTACACAGCACAAAGAGAGTGAATCCCCTTAACAGGGTCACATACAGAAATAAAAACTGACTGGGGTTCTAATCCCTCTCCACTCTATTAAAAGCAACAAAAAAAATTGTCTTTACTCTTTCAGTGGTTTCAGTTTACTGGAATTTTGCCAACATACTAGGTAAGGAAAGCACAATCCTTGAAATGTGGGGTACGTACACCATATCCCTTGCTGCAGCAAAGTCTCTATTAGATTTATTGCTTTGTTTTCCTGTTGTAGATTTTACTTCACTTCCTGTCTGGTGAACCTGTTGCCACCGTGACAGGAAGTGAGGGGAAATCTGTCACAAAGCTTGAGATAGAAGGAAAAAAAAAAAAAAAGATTTTAATCCTTGCTGCTCTATCCAAAACGAATAAAAATGTTTTTGACTGAACATACACCCAACGCCGACATTACAATGTCATAGAAAGTGTCTGTGCAATTCAAAGCTCATCAATCCTTACTCAAAGATCCTATGCTATGCTCAAATAGTAAATCTCATTCCAATTCTAAGAATAAGCCGGGTTTATAGTACACTTCCATGGCCGACTCATTTTCCGGCTCATTAACAATGGTCCATTGTATGTAATGCTCTGTTGCTTTTTGGCAGCATTCATACAAGCAAGCTTATTACAGGTCACTGAATCCTTTGATAAAGTTCACAAGTTCCCATGTAAACAAACACAAAGTGCTCAGTGAATGTAACAGTGTGACACGGACACATTTGCACAGTTTCATCCAGATTTATGTGTCACGTAGGAGAGGCTTGCAAAGCAGATATAAAATGATGTATCATTATATCCCACCTTCAGATAAGAACAGAAGAATCAAAAATCAGGAGAATATTCACCCAGCAGCAAAAAGATTATGCCAAAGACTAGCTGTGCAATTAGATCCAGTCCTAGATAGAAATATATAACTCAGATTAGAGATCCCCATATCCCACACACCACACGGAAGCTGTTAATCTGATGGAGAGTTTATAGTCTGTAGTTTCTCTAGAAATCCATAGCGCTACAGGGCGCCTCTTGTACATGGTGACAGGAAGCGACAATTGAAGGCTGCATGGCCCGTTAGATGGCAGACTTGGCCAAGTCTACCTTTGTGGGTAAAGGGCCTGCTTCTTCATTTTCCTGCGGAACTCCATGAACGACCACCAGAGATGCAGGAGGGTACTTGTGTAGCTTCTGCTCATTTAGATATTCCAGATCCCCATATATACTCAGCTTCTGCAAGAAAAGGAGTCACACAGCTTTGCTGTTAATAGTCCTTAAATAACAAATACATGATATCATACTGGAGCAATTTAGTAAAGATGAAACAATGCAAATTCTTCACTTTTTTTTCTAACGAGTAGTAAAGTCATCACATTTAATGGTCCTTACCAATGTATGTTTTATTGGTTTTCTGATAAAGCAAACCACAAAAAACTACTTCACACACCAACTTATTAAAAACCAAAGCTTCCCCTTCCATAATACTCATGTTTAACTCCTTGCCACCCACAATTTGTATATTATTTATTCATTAATAAACATCCTCCATTTGAGAGCAACTACCTGACACTGGACAGCTGCCAACTCTCACTTCTAGTTGTCACAGACAACTTGGTCCCCACCAGGGGCGGACTGACAACTCATGGGGCCCCCGGGCAATAGGAGATCATGGGGCCCCTGTGTCCTTGCCCAAACTCAAACAAGCCTATGAAAAATGTACCTGGGGCATCTCATGAGGCCCCTTAATGACCCCGGGCAGTGCCCGAGTTTCCAAATGGTCAGTCCGCCCCTGGTCCCCACTGACAATCAGGAACTAATTTGAGTGGTTTTCAACCACTGTCAGCTATGATAGAGATCACATGCAGGCTGGAGGTTTCATTAGCAATATAAGCCATTCACTCTGCAGATGGCTCTGCAACCTGCAGAAGGAAGTGTTTATCTATTTAATAGTGTAGTTGTCAGATACAATTAAAGTACATATTAAAAAAAAAAAAAAAAAAACCCCAAAAAAAAAAAAAAAAAAAAAAAAAAAACACACAACTTTGGCCTAGGCATTTGACCTTTGGTCATGAAAAGGGGGGTTGCTCCCTATCCCAATCTTCACTTTTTACAGTAAAACGTGAAGATTTTGTATTCCTGGATCCACAGAACATTTTGACATGCAGTTTTCACTAAAGATGACTTCTGACTATGAGTTTTTTAAAAACCATTTGATTCTGCTTTGCCCAGGTTTACTTTAGGTTTTATCCTTTGTTTAATCTTAATCGCATTCTGAACATTATTTGTTAGCAATAAAATTGCAGTCATTTATCTTTTTGACAAATGAAACTAATATTTGAACATTTATGATACATGTACAGAAAGGTACCAGGATTAACTGATCGTAGCCATGGGGAAACCACAATCACCCAGTTCTTATACAAACATTTGGCCTAAGTCCCAGCAAGCTAAACTAGTTATGCTGGTCAACATACTGAACAAGAATAAGACGACACAGCTTTATAAAAGTAGTAGTGCTATAGCATGTGAAACTCCAATTGTGATAAACGTTCTACCACTTTAAGGAAGCTGCTACCTCACACACTACACCAGTGTTTCTCAACTCCAGTCCTCATGGACCCCCAACAGGTCATGTTTTCAGGATTTCCATTATTTTGCACAGGTGATTTGATCAGTTTCACTGCCTTAGTAATTACCACAGCTGTTTCATCTGAGGGAAATCCTGAAAACATGACCTGTTGGGGGTCCATGAGGACTGGAGTTGAGAAACACTGCACTACACCAAGGGGTTGATTTACTAAAACTGGAACATGAAAAATCTGGGGCAGCTCTACATAAAAACCAGTCAGCTTCCAGGTTTTACCGTGAAAAGCTTAATTGAACAAGCTGAGGTTAGAAGCCGATTGGTTACCATGCACAGCTGCACCAGATTCTGAGCGCTCAAGGTTTACTAAATCTCCCCCCCAAGTGTACAAACATCAGAAAAGAGTCAGCTCTTCCAAACCCCCTGTATTTGAAAGTATGTTATTGGTGTCAATACTATCCTGCGGAGTTATAGGAAAACCAATAAAGGATGTGCTTAGTATGTAACAAAGTAAATAAAAAGGTATATATTTACATCTATCTGTGATGAACTAGAGGATTTTGCCATAGGGTATTAAAATGGTATTGCTGTGAGCAACAGGAGATTTGGTAGCAGTGACTCTTCTTGACTGATGAACTGCCTAAAATATTTTTGACACAATCTCAATGGATTACTCTCTAATCTGGACTTTATTTTCAGTTCACACTTTATAAGGGTAGGGTAAGGTTATTCTCTTTGGACATATACAGAGAACTCACCTCAGAGGGAACATACTGATCAGATGCAGTAGCTACTGTTGCACAACAAATCCAGAGCAGAACCAGGATGGACAGAATCAAAGTGGCTGTGAGGAGCCAGTTGGAATTCCTGCACAATCCAAATACAAATGAATGTATAATAAGTAGAGTCATCTAGCTAGACAGTATAATAATGTGGGGGGAAAAGTCATTCTGATACACATATGGATACCACATACATAGCTAGACACTTCATAATGCTGGCTCCTCTTTCCAATTCCAGGAAATCACCTCTTCTGTTCCACGGTCCCTCTCCTGCACGGTCTTCAGGTGCTAGGTCTGCCACAACATAGGACACAATCTGTCAAATCCGTGACATAAAACTGGAGGATAACTCTGACATATAAAAAAAACTGGATCACTCACACATTTTGTATCAGACTTACTTTGGACAATATCTAGCAAGTTACCTCTTGCAGATGGATTTTCTGAGTACACTGGCGGTATCTGCTGAATTTCTGGCTGGGACTGAGCAGGCAGGGACAAAAAAAAAAAAAAAAAAAAATTCATTTTCAGTAATTAAATATTCTGTAGGTCCCATAAACATAAAATACATTCTAAATAGAAAGAAAGCAGCAACTTAAAATGGAACTAAACCTTCTCAATTTTAAATATTTGTAATCTTTATGCTGCTAGTATTAGTAAATAGATGGAAAGTATATTCAGTTTGCATGTTTTAACCCCCAATTTTTGAAGTTGCTTCCTGGTTTCTGACCTAGGCCAAGATGATAAACACACATCTCAGGAGTCTTCATGGGCATTTTTTTCTTTCATCTGGGGCTCTCTCAGCTAAGCATGCCCTCCTGCCTACATGCCTGAGCTAAGAGCAGATGGATTCCATGAAGTAAATGCTACATGAATCATCTGCTAGGGAGCGTTTCTCAAAATAAAGCATGGATGGATGTGTGAGTTTGCTTTGAACATTAAAAATGAATTAAATGTATGTAAAAGACCCAACTCCCATCTCAGTGATCTATGTACATTGCAAGGATTTAAACAAACTGTTTCGGATCCCTACCTTTTATTATTCTGAAGAATTAACCATTTGTTTGTGTCCAGACAAACAGGAAAGTGATTCCTTGTGGAAGTGGTTTTATAATTATCAATCAGCTACTGCACCTGCAGGGCTCGAATGTGGAAAATTGCAGGGCTGCATCTCATTAGCAAATTAGCATTTTTGTGGCAGGGGATGCTCAAAATATGATTGGTTTATTAGTGCAGACTTCTGGGAAAGTCAGTAAGCCAGTCGCACAAGCAGGAAATTACATTTCTGGGGGGTGTTCTGTACAGAACATCTCCAGGTAGCCATATTGCAATGCATTTTAAAGATCATTATAGCAGCTACAGATTGAAAAGGAAAGGTAATTTGTAATAACATTGAATTACAAAATAACTTGTTTCGCAATTGTATGCGCTATATATATATATATATATATATATATATATATATATATATATATATATATATATATTATTTTATTTTTTTTTTTTTTTTTCGTATTTGCTAATTTTTTCCCAATGAAAGTGGAGTTACGACTTAAATATTCTGTGCCGATACTATAATGTTTTCAGCTTCATTACTATTCTCTAAACAGATATATACAGTGGATTTCATTTTAATAAAGTATGATGGTGAGTCACAGAAGATAGTGAGGTATGCGCCATATAAAATGTTCAATTAAAGTGTAATAACATGTACACTATAAAAAATAAAATCACATACCCCCCCATGCTCTGGGATACATTCATGCAAGTGTTTGTTCTTCATGCACTTTCACTGTAGGCAGGCCCCCTTTCACTGCAAGCGGGCCATATAAACATGTCAGGGTCTGCTCTCCCCTATTGCCCTAGGGAAGATTTCTTCCGCAATTAATTTCAAATACTGGAAGTCACCCTGTGAAGTCTGCACTTTTATCAGTGTGTCACACAACGGTCATAACATACACATGGGACAAGTGCAGGAAACATTTCTTCCTTCTTTTTTAAACATGTGTCCCTATATCTCTTAAATAAAACCATCTCCTTTTGGAATTTTAATAATTGCTGAGAAAGATCTATATACCATGTTTCGTATTATACCCATATTTAGCATCTAACCCAAAACATGGTCAGCATGCACTCCCCCCAACCCCCTTACAGAATTGTGGGGCTTTTCTTTCTACTGGCTCCTGTCATATTTGAAATTCGCATAGCTCCACCCACAAAGTTGAGTTGTTCATTCACAGGAATTGCAGCAGAGGGACTGTAGGTCTCAATGAAACACAAGTGCAGTGATGTTACCACACTTGTTGTCCATTGATACTTCCTCCAGCTCTGTAAATGAAGAGATCCGAACCTCTGTACAGATCTGGGGCTGGAAGAAGAGTCTGTAGGTGCCAGAGAATTGCACATGCGATCTAATGATCATGGTTACAATGCTCTGCAGGCTCAAATGGAATAAGAAAAATGCACATTTTTGGTTTTCAGAAATGGCGGAATTCTCCTTTAACTTTCAAAGCCCTCTAAATCAGAGTAACTGAGGTGAAAGTAATGAACATAATAATGATTACCGCATCCTGTGTATACATTGTTGTTAAAGTCTAGTTTAATCCCCCTGCACATACTTGCACTATCAGAATACGTCCATTATCTGCTTGAATGTAGAATGTCCAGGATGATGATATGAAACTTTGGGCAGAATCCATCATGTCACTCCAGAATGCTTTCACCATAGTCAGAGGGAACAGAACGTGTATACGAGGCACCATATCTGACAGCTGCAAATGTTAACAAGTGATACTTGTCATCATGAAGGACTATTATAACAAATGGAGCTGCTTTAAGAAAGCATACAAGTAGCAAAGCATTTTATTTGTTTTAATCCAATGTAGCACCAACCTCTTCTTGACGCTTCTCTGCAAAAGGCATCTGGCTGTTACAGCCAAGAATACAAGCATACTGCTCATTGGTCTGGGGGTAGGCTTCTGTACAGGCTGTAAGAAAATGGCAAATGTCAAACAAGGCTAGCTGTTACACAGAAAATAGGCCAGGGTCTCTCATATGACATGATGGGGTAGATTTACTAAAACTGGTTCACTCAGAATCTTGTGCAGCTTTGCATGGTAGCCAATCAGCTTCTAACCTCAGCTTGTTCAGTTAAGCTTTGGCAATAAAACCTGGAAGCTGATTGGTTTTCTATGCAGAAATGCATCTAATTTTGTACTCTCCAGCTTTAGTAAATAAACTCCGATGGGTCTTTAAAAAAAAAAAAAAACTGCTGTGGAGACATAGGGGTTGATTTACTAAAGGCAAATAGAGTGTGCATGTTGCAAAGTGCAGTTGCACTCCGCAAAAACGGTTTCTCCAGAGCTTAATAAATGAGCAGAAGCTCTGCTGACATCCATCATCCAATCATTTTTTTTTAATTTCCTTGCACGACTGGGTATTCTTTGCAAAATTAAGGTTTACCTCATTTACTAAGCTCTGGAAAAACTGCACAGTCTATTTGCCTTCAGTAAACCATTCCAAAAGTGCAGGATATGGCTGTTACCGTTTCTCTTTGGGGGTGATACAAACTCTCTTACTGCTGTAAGGTAGCTGAATCTCTACCCGCGTCCAACCTTTTGTTAAGCTGTTTATGTGAACTAAGTGGATGTGCCTGTGTGTTATTTTGTTTTTCAGTCAATATTTTTTAAACTTTACATGTCTCTTGTGAACGTCTGCAATCCTGCTGCACATACTTCAGTTCATAGGTATGTTTTTTCTTTGTATACGTTTACTGTTTGTTAATTAGATTTTTTTTCTGTCATAACAAGTACACATGAAAAAAAAAAAAGGGACGAACAGAAGGGTCATAAGGCTCAGCCTTAGCTCTGTATTCAATTACACAATATCAGTAAAAATAGGCTATACATGTTGGTGCATAAGGCATATCAAAATACAACATGGTAATTCCCCATTAGGTAGAAAACAAAGGAGTAGAACTACCATATTAAGCCGGATGTGAGGCATGCAATTGTCTAGCAAATGCTTTTTTTCTTTGCTTTTAGTTCTCCTTTAAAATTTTAACCTAACAAAACTCAAAAGGAAACTTCACCCAAAAAGGGAGGTTATGCTCTTCTTCCTCCTCCTCCTCCTCCTCCTCCTCCTTCACATTTGGATTATAACTTAGGGGAGGGGAAGGGTGGGGGATACCTGGGGGTCCCACTTCCAGTCAATCGCCACGGCGGAACGGAATTTCTCCTCTTCCCTGCCCGCAGCCTTCTGGGACATGTCACAGGTCCCAAAACGCTGTGGGACCATTCACAAAGCAAAGCGCAACTCGCACATGCGCGGTGAGATGGAGGCTGTGAACCCGCAAGGAGTCACAGACAGCTGCCCACACTTAACATGTTGGCGCCAGGGACTTGTAGACTGGTGAAGAAACGGCCCGCGTGAGGATGGCACTGGATCCTTGGGCAGGTAGGTGTCTGTTTATTAAAAGTCAGCAGCTACAGTTTTTGTAGTTGCTGACTTAATTTTTGAAACCCTGGTTCAAGCTCCTCTTTAGCCAACAAGATTTCCTAAATGTGCATACACTTCTTATTAACTGGGGATGTATCCTCCATCAAATGCTTTCTGTCAGCATTGCAAGATCTTGGCACAGGGACTCCACAGGATTCAGCAGTGGATTGACGACTGTATGTTGGAAGCTAGTAAGTGGATTCAAATATTACAACTTATGGAATTGATCATGGAAGTTTGTGTTTTTATTGTTAAAGGTCGATACTACCTGAGGAAAACAAATAATGACAGAGCTTGTCCATATTTAACACAAATGTATCATACAGACTGGGTAAGTATATTTATCTCATTTAAGGCATACCACGCTCACTTTCTGTAAATGCCAAATAAATTGGGACTGTAGCAACAGCAGCCACAGACAATGTGGCCCCCACTTACAGTTGCAAGAAAAAATATGTGAACCCCTTGGGATTACGTGGAGTTTTGCATGAATTGGGCAAAAAATGTGCTCTGAACGTCATCTAAGTCACAACAATAGAAGAACACAGTCTGCTGAACATAATACTACACAAACATTAGATGTTGCTATGGTTTAATTGCACATAACATGTAAACATTTCACAGTGCAGGGAGGACAAAGTATGTGAGGCCCTAGCTTAATGACTTCTCCCAGAGCTAATTGGAGCAAGGAGTGAGCCAACCTTGACCCCAATCAGTGTGATGATATTGGATGTGTTGCTGACAGCTGTCCTCCCTTAAAAAACACACACCTGTTTTGGGTTTACTGGTTTCAAGAAGCACTGTCTGATGTGAACCATACCTCGCAGAAAAGAGCTCTCAGAAGACCTACGATTAGGAATTGTTGACTTGCATGAAGCTGGAAAGGGTTACAAAAGTATCTCCAAAAGCCTTGATGTTCATGTGACGACGGTAAGACAGACTGTCTACAAATGGAGAAAGTTTAGCACTGTTGCTACTCTCCCTAGGCGTGGTCGTCCTGTAAAAATGACTGCAAGAGCACAGTGTAGAATGCTGCATGAGGTAAAGAAGAATCCCAGAGTGTCAGCTAAAGACTTACAGAAATCTCTGGCACATGCTAACATTTTTGTTGACACATCTACAATAAGGAAAACATTAAACAAGAATGGAGTACATGGGAGGACACCACGGAGGAAGCCATTGCTGTCCAAAAAGAATATTGAAGCACGTTTGAAGTTTGCAAAAGAGCACCTGGATGTTCCACAGCACTACTGGCAAAATATACTGTGGACAGATGAAACCAAGATTGAGTTGTTTGGGAAGAACACACAACACTATGTGTGGAGAAAAAAAGGCACAGCACACCAACATCAAAACCTCATCCCCACTGTAAAACATGGCGGAGGGAGCATCATGGTTTGGGGCTGCTTTGCTGCCTCAGAGCCTGGACGGATTGTTGTCATTGATGGGAAAATGAATTCCAGAGTTTATCAAGACATTTTGCAGGAAAACGTACGACCATCTGTCCGCCAACTGAAGCTCCGCAGAGGATGGGTGATGCAACAGGACAATGACCCAAAGCATACAAGTAGTTCAACAAAGCAATGGCTGCAACAGCACAGAATACGCCTTCTGGAGTGGCCCAGTCAGAATCCTGACCTCAACCCGATTGAAATGCTGTGGCATGACCTTAAGAGAGCGATTCACACCAGACATCCCAAGAATATTGCTACACTGAAACAGTTTTGTGAAGAGGAGTGGTCCAAAATTACTCCAGATCATTGTGCAGGTCTGATCTGCAACTACAGGAAACGTTTGGTTGAGGTTATTGCTGCCAAAGGAGGGTCAACCAGTTATTAAGTCCAAAGGTTCACATACTTTTTCCTCCCTGCACTGTGAATGTTTACATGTTATGTGCAACTAAACCATGGCAACATCTAATGTTTGTGTAGTATTATGTTCAGCAGACTGTCTTCTTCTATTGTTGTGACTTAGATGACGTTCAGAGCACATTTTATGCCCAATTCATGCAAAACTCCACGTAATCCCAAGGGGTTCACATACTTTTTCTTGCAACTGTATTTAAGAAGGGTGCATGTAACATAATACAAACTCTTCGCCAAGTGTCTCAGAGATCTTCTACACAGTTTCAGAAATGTGCACAATGAATGCACTCTGAGCCGTGTGTGCATACAACAAAGAACAGGACATGTTGCTTTCTGCATTGTTAATACAAAACAGGACAGACTGAACTGCAATCCAAATGTTTTAGAATTCTATAAATAGGTGATGGAATGTAGTAAATCTCTCCACACAATGTAAGCTTTCAAGTTTTTCTAAAGTGTCAAGTAGAAGAGAACAAAGTAGAAGAGAACAGCAACAACTTCAATACTTATAAATCAATGGCAACCAATAAGAAGATCCTTTTCTTGGGGGCCCCATCCCCTGACTCGCGGCTCCCCTCGGGTGACATCCCCGACTCGCCCCTCCCCTCGGGTGCCCCATCCCCTGAATCGCGGCTTCCCTCGGGTGCCCCATCCCCTGACTCGGCGACCCATCCCCTGACTCGCGGCTTCCCTCTGCCCCTGACTCGCGGCTTCCCCCTGACCCATCGCGGCTTCCCTCTGGCGACCCTCTGACTCGGCTTCCCTCTGGCGACCCATCCCCTGACTCGCGGCGGACCCATCCCCTTCCGGCTTCCCTCTGGCGACCCATCCCCTGACTCGCGGCTTCCCTCTGGCGACCCATCCCCTGACTCGCGGCTTCCCTCTGGCGACCCATCCCCTGACTCGCGCTTCCCTCTGGCGACCCATCCCCTGACTCGCGGCCCTCTGGCGACCCATCCCCTGACTCGCGGCTTCCCCTGGCGACTCGCGGCTTCCCTCTGACCCAATGACTTGCACCGCTAATAGGCCACAATTAAAAAACATGCAAAAGAACTATTCTGATATAAGACTACTCTCACACCCTGCCCACTCCAATTCATAAAGGGTAACTGAATACACAAAATATGTCCAGCAACATATTACTTTACTGTCATTGTATACATACAACAAAATTCATCAAGGTACTCTTTAAATTTTAGAAAAGCAACATTATATATTTCTCAAGACCCCTACACATACACATTTCCTAACATATGCCCACATATCTGTTTTTTATATATAACAAAATATCGAATATTTGAAGAAGAAAAAAAGGAAACACTTCACATAATATTCCTAAAACTCTGCACCTGATGGGTTTGTAGGCAATACAGACCTAGAGATAAAAAACCTAAACTTCAATTGGTTAATGTGCATTTTAAGTGTCCTAATATCTTTTCCCAGACAGCAACAGGGCATACACATTCTGACATGGATGGATTGGATCACTACCAATAGCTCTTTCCCACTATTTTAAATGGCATATACTTTTTCCAAGTGTAGATCTGTACCTATGATCAGCTGTGTTGTTTTCACCACATAAGACAAGCACTTCTTATCCTCCACCCTGCAGCTGACATACCACACTAAAGAAGGATACTCTCAATGGTGCAATAATGGAAACTGACCAGAAGCCTCAAGGGTAATCCAGTCTGTTTCAGTCCCCTAAAGAAAAACAATCTCTGCTGCACTTTCTCACTGGAAAACAAGCAGGTTTAGACCATGACAATATCTTTATAATATGGTACATCCAATAACTTAATAGTGTCCACCCTTTCCAATGCTCACTACCTATATATACACGGAGCAATGATTGATCTTTCCTGATCTCCTATATTCCATTATTAATTCTTCAGTTTTTTATTTTTATGCACACCACTCAACCAAATGCTGAATTTCCTGCCTATAAGTGTTTTTCTCATTTTCTCCAACTAAACTCATGAGTCCAACTAAAGTATTGTCATTAGCAAACTTCACTATGGTATTTGATGCATGTATGGGAGTACAGTCATATGTAAACAATGTAAACAGAGCTGAACTCAACCCACATCTGCATTACCCCTATATGCAGACTAATATTAGACACCTGATCTCCTATTCTCACAATTTGTGCTCTATTTGTTAGGAAATCCAGAATGCATAAGCAGCAGTGGGTATACACCCAAAGCATTTAACTTTTTCCCTAGTTTGTCAAGAACTACTATGTTAAATGCTGAGATAAAATCAATGAATAACATCCTAACGTGTTTGAGTGCTGAAAATGTGTCATCAAAGCAGTGTGCAAATCAATAGAAATTGCATTGTCTGTGTATCTGTTTGCATGAAAGGCAAACGGATACTTATCCAGGTCAACAAGAATGCTTGCATTAAGATGTAATACTTAAAGCCCCTCAAAACACATGATGATGATGATGATAGGAGTTAAAACAACTGGACAATAGTCACTTAAGCACGTTACTGCTGATATGTTTTCTTTATTTTAAGTATTGAGACAATAGTAGTAGATTTAAAACTAAGGTACTGCAGCTTGTCGCAATGCCACTAACTAAACTTCTGCTCTGGATTCCCACGGTGGCAACTGCCTGCGCATATGGCCACAAGACCTCTACTGCAGGGCAGGATCAGCCAATCCAAACTCTAATTTTCCCCTTTAGTAGAGATCAGGCCGGGGTGCTGGAATCACAAAGCAGCAGTTTCAGCAGCAAACATGATTCCGAACTTCTGCTACACTGGTCATGTATAATTTTTCAGATTTCACTTGTTAGGTCTTCAGAACAGTAAGCCATCATAGCCAAGCCAGAGGACAATGCTACTAAACCACTATGGATACTGCCTTTGCATCTAAAAGCATCTCACCTCTGACTGTCCTCCATATCAAGGTCCTTCACTTAGGCAGCCCATGATGATTCAATATTCTTTCCTTCTGCCACAGGCGTAAGGAAAGAAAAAAAATCGCTTGATTCCCCCATCAACATAATGTTGATGGGGGAAGCCCTTCCGCAGCGCTATTGTGTTCTTCCAGCGGGGTGGGATGAGGGTTACAGGGAGCCTTCCAGGCTCGCAGAACACAATGATTACTGCTAGTAGCTATAGTTGCAGGTAGAAAACTCCAATAGGCTGGTTGTACCCAAGTTGATCGATGGACCTACTTGGGTACAATCAGCCTGCCTTTACATGAATCAGCCGATCCCTGCTGAACCAGCCAAGTTTTTAATCCATGTATGGGAGGCTTTACCCTATATTAGAATAGATTGTACATGTGTCCTTCAGTACTGCATCCCATAATACCCAGCTACCAACATTACAGAATAGTGCTATAAGCTCAACAAAAGCTGGTTTGTAATTGGTTGCTAAGAGTTCATGCATAATTGGTATTTGATGTGTCACTACAAAATCACTCAGGATATTTGCCTAACAAATTGCAAGTATTCTCCTTGTATGTATCATCACCTGATTCACATTCCAGCTTTGTCTTGTTCAAGTCTTCTCCAATCCCTGCAAATTGACAGATAGAGAAAAGACGACAACCTCTATGGCAGGCAAAGAGCTCCTCCTCCTGTACAGAAATGGTAACACAACAGAGGATGTTATTTATGGCAGAATGCGACCCTAAGGTTTTATTAATATTACAGGTATTTATATAATTTACGCAACACTTTTCATACTGTACATTCACATCGGCTCCTGCCCTCAAGGCACTTACAATCAAAGGTCACTATCTCACATGCATAAATACACGCAACACACATACTAGGGCCAATTTAGACAAGATTTGGACAGGAGCCAATTAACCTACCAGCATGTCTTTGGAGTGTGGGAGGAAACCAGAGTATTAGGAGAAAATCCAGGTACATTCAGAGAGAACATAAAAATATTGTGCACATAGTGTCCTGACTGATGTTAGACAAACACACACAAAGATACACAGTGCAACCCCTAGCAAACATTGAAATAAACCTTTATCACAAGTGCTCAAAATCTCCAAATGTGTCCAAATATAATACAATTAAGTAAAATGTATATTATTATTATACAGGATTTATATAGCGCCAACAGTTTGCGCAGCACTTTACAATATAAGGGAGACGGTACAATTACAATACATTTCAGTACAGAAGGAATAGGAGGGCCTTGCTCGTGGAGCTTACAATCTAAAGGAAGGGGGAGGTGATACAAAAAGGTGATAGCTGCGGGGGACGATCTGGCGGAGGTGATTCAAGTACAGTTCTAAGGTGGAGGTGGGGTAGTCTTCCCTGAAGAAGTGAGTTTTCAAAGATCGCCTAAAGGCAGACAGGGTGGGGGCTGACCAGACATGCTGTGGTAGGGAGTTCCAGGGAATGGGAGAGGCTCTGGAGAAGTCCTGGAGGCAAGCATGGGAGGAGGTGATGAGGGAGCTAGAGAGGAGGATATCATGGGAGGAGCGGAGTGGGCGATTTGGGCGGTATCTGTTGATGAGGTTGGTGATGTAGCTAGGGGCAGTGTTGTGGATATTTTTCATGCATCCCACTGTGGCAAATTTTTATCTTTTACAAGGATTACATTTGGCCTTGGTACTGACCCTATTTGGAACACCAAGCTCATCTATGTTTGTCACACACTTCTGCAAAGGACTTTGGAATATTATTATTATTATACAGGATTTATATAGCGCCAACAGTTTGCGCAGCGCTTTACAAAATGAAATGTTGGCGGGCAGCAAGGGGTTAGAGGGTTAGCTCGCCTTTACCAAAAAAACTGCCTATGCAGATAAGGGGGCAACTGTAGATAAAAAACTGTGCAGCTCTGACCAATGCTAAAGCAATTCTAAAGGTTAATTTTTTTTTTTTAAAATAACAAACATATTTATACTTACCTACTGTGTAAGTGGTTTTGCACAGAGCAGCCTGGATCCTCTTCTTGGGTCCCCCACAGGCTCTCTTGGCTCCTCATTCCTGTTAGGTGCCCCCACAGCAAGCAGCTTGCTATGGGGGTACCAGCTGCTCCATGTATCCATTCACATACGGAGACGCAGCTTGGCCCTGCCCCTCCCCCTCTCCTCGTTGGCTGACTAGCTGTGATTGACACCAGCAGGAGCCAATGGCACCCACTTGCTGTCTTAGCCAATAAGTAGGCAGAGACTTGGGATAGCCGAGGCTGTTGTTCACATCGCTGCATAGCAATGAAGCTCAGGTAAGTATTGAGGGGGCTGCTGCACACAGGTTTTTTTTACCTTCATGCATTCTAAAAACCCCGAGCCCTTACATCCACTTTAAATATTGGATATTGTATGTACTCTCCAGTGCCTCAGGATATGCACAGCCAAAAGGGAAGCCAAGGGAACCAGGACAGCGACAACCAGGCATCAACAGCAAGGCTCCTACTTTCCATTCATCATACATCTGCATCAGGGCCAGTAATCAGCTCTGAGGAAAGGGATTCGTCCCCGAAACGCGTCAGCCATTTGACCGCACTGACAGTGAGAACACCTTGCCCGGCGTTGTGGCCATTGTCATTTTTCTATGCTTTTTAGATACATGCTTCATCTGTATGTTTTTATTATTCTTTCACTCCTACAATAAACCTTGGTTAATGCACTAGGTGTGTGCACCACCTGTTTTCTCTCTATCCACTTTAAATATTGCCCTTGCTATAGGCGTAGGCCATTTATGTACCTCCTGAAGCCTGACCTGAAAACTCCCAGGACATTGCTAAGAGAAGCCCAGCTATTACTCTTCACCATCACAGGAGTGAGCTTTTTCTCTGATCCAAAACCCTCACGTGCTTTCTCTCCTCACTCCTGTGATGGTGACCAGTAACAGCTGGGAGAGTCTTAGCAACATCCTGGGAGTTTTCCATCCAGGCTTCATGAAGGATGGAAAGGCCACAACCTATAGGAAGGGTATTACTCAAGTTTAGTCAGTTCTCCACAGTTTGTTTTTGCAGATTTTTGGTAAAGTGGAACTAACCGTATAAAACCCTCAGTGCACAGAATCACGCTAAGCGTACCGCCGTCACCGCCTCCAACTCCGCCCCCAAGTCAGGTTCACAGAGTATGTAAAGTCCCCATGTATAGTGCCTAGTAAGAGCAGCTCCCCAGCACACAGGGATAACCCCAATGGCTGCCCCTCTGACCCACATCTGTAGACTGGTCACCCACATCTGTAAGCAGAATAGGCTGCAGAGGGAAGTTCCATGTCGGATGTTGTGCACAGCCAAGTACCAAGGCCAAGGATGTTTATATAGCAGAGCTGAAGGAGGAGGGGCTCGGCGTGTTCGGTCTCACACTCACCTCAGGGTAGGTGTGCAGGGGGTAGGTGCCCTCACACACATGGTGGCAGGACGAGCTATCCCCCAGGGCCGTGTCCAAGGAGCCCTGAACTCTCCAGCTACAAAACAGCAACAGCACTCCGCTACAAAAGATCTGTAAGGCTGCCATCTTTCTCCTCTCAATCACTTCCGGATACTGGAGCTGCGTCCTTACGTTACGCTCGACGCTTGTGTTGACAGATATCATCAGAGCGCGACACACAACGGAAGCCGGAAGTAGACATCCAGCGTGAAACGCAAAGTAGTAATACAGCCATAACATGGACAGGTTCATAATCAGAAACCCCAAACCGCATTCCCGGGAGGAGAGTCCAGCTGGGAGAAAGAAAAGGCCCATGGGCCAGGCCACCCTGTACTCCTTGAAGGTGACTATACTGCTGGCAACAGGCACTCCTGCTAAACCTGTCTTATTTACTAAACCAGGGATCCCCAAACTACGGCCCTCCAGCTGTTATTTATTTCAGGTACTTATATAGCTCTGTCAATTTACACAGTGCTTTACATATATATTGTACATTCACATCAGTCCCTAACCCTCAAGGGGTGTACAATCTAAGGTCCCTAACTCACATTCATACATACACATACTAGGGACAATTTACTGTAGACAGGATCCAATTCACCTACCAGCATGTCTTTTGGAGTGTGGGAGCAAACCGGAGTACCCGAAGGAAACCCGCCCAGGCACAGGGAGAACATGTAAACTAACTCCAGGCAGGTGGTGCCGTGGTTGGATTCAAACAATGACTCCAGGCAGGTGGTGCCGTGGTTGGCCAAACCAATGACCCTAGTACTGCCGGGCGGAAGTGCTAACCATTTAGCCACTGTGCTGCCCAGCTGTTGAAGTACTACAAGTCCCATCATGCCTATGTCTCTGGGAGTCTTGCCTGTGGCTGTCAGTCTTGCAAGGCCTCGTGGGACTTGCAGTTCCTCATCACCTGGAGGGTCATAGTTTTGAGACCCCTGTACTAAACCCCCTGTGTCTTCATGACTGGCTTCAGCTTGTATGACAGCTGTGTTTACAGCAGCTTTGTTCAAGCTTTTGACAGCTTCACTGCCAGAGCCAGTTTTGCATTTTTAGGCCTGAAGATTAGTTAACCCCCTCCGCCCACATTGTATATTTTCTGAAAGCAGATACCCTGGAGGATAAAACGGCGGTCATTACAATTTTGTACGTCACGCAATATTGGTTTGTAAGATGCAAACGTTCAGTAAAAAATACACTAAAGTTAATTTTAGGGCACATAAATGCAATATATTACCCAAAAAATTAAAGATGTGGTTGTGATGCGTAAATAGATACCCAACATGTCAACCTTTAATCCTCATGCACACAGGACATTTTAACCACTTTAAGTCCGGACACTTTCACCCTCTTCCTGCCCAGGCCAATTTTCATCTTTCAGCGCTGTCACACTTTGAATGACAATTGCACGGTCATGCAACACTGTGCCCAAATTACTTTTTTAGCATTTTTTTGAGACAGATAAAACTTTATTTTGGTGGTATTTATTCACTACTGGGATTTATATTTGTTTGGTATATAAATGAAAAAAAATGTTTGAAAAAAAGTGCTTTTCTTATACAAATTTGCAAATAAATAATCTTTCTTCACAAATGTTGGCCAAAATGTATTCAGCTATCTTTTTTATAAAACAAAATAACCAAAATTAGCTTATAACCAAAAATTTTAATTTTTCAAAATTTGTTTTTTACATTTTTTTTAATATTATTATTTATTTTTTAACATCCTGTCACCCTAGCAGTACAGTGTCACCATAGTGACACTGTACTACATGTGGGGGGTAATGAAGATTTTTTTTTTTTTATACACTGATTGCTTTTACCCGTAAAAGCAATCATTTCACCTCTCTGGCTGCATTCTTGGAGCCATTGAGAAATACTGTGAGAGCTGTGATTGGTCACAGCTTGTCACATGGTATAAGGTTGTTATGAATAGCCTTGTACCATGTGATCTCTGTGATCATTCACAGATTTCACATGTAGTAAGCAATGATGTCAGAAGTGACATCTTGCTTACTGCTATTCATGTGATCACTGATTGGCCAATTAGTGATCACATGATCTGGACCTCACATAGAGGTCCCGTACAGTGATCAGTGTTCCACTGGGTCCTACCTGCAAAATGACCCTACCTCATATTTTCTATGGCGGACACTTTAAAAGCCCCTACAGATCATCAGTTCAAAGTTGAAGTGGAACTTTAGTCAATAAATTAAGTCCTGCATAGAGCATATGCTCAGTTGCTCTATTTTTCATCACTGTGCCAAATTTGTGGAGACCGATATGCTGACAGCCTAGAAAGAAAGATTTACTGCTGCTCAGGGGCTCTGGGCTTCTACAAAGTGGCGGCTTCCAGCAATAAGAAACAGGAGCAATGCAAGTCGGAATGTATGCTCCTTGCTAAAGAACATTATTTTTTAGCAAGTTGGGTAAAGGTCCGCTTTAACCATGAATAATGGTCCTAGAGTTACTGCTCTCACTCCAACATGCATTGCGATATGTAAAGTGTATCATAAGCAACATTTTTATACATAGGCGTCCCCGACAGGTGCATTTACATTCATTTTATTTTGGGAGGGGTTTAAGTGCTTGGGTGTAACTTTATTTTTTGACTTTTTTTTTTTTTTTTGCTTTCAGTAAAACAAGAAAACCCCCTATGTCATATAATATTTTACGACAGGTTCTCTTTAATGAGAGATCAGGGGTCTACATAATTATTATATAATTTGCTTTTGATTTGCTTTGGTTTATTTTTTTTCATATGTTCTGTCCTTTGATATCAGTTAGGAATTCTTATGCTAGGTACCTTCTACCTTGTTGTTGTGTTTAGAGGGTGGTGGTGCTGGAAGATATAAAGAGATGGAAATGTATCCTGATGCTGCCCAGCCAGACTAAAGAGAATCTTCTGGAAGCCTTATCACAACTGAAGAAGAAAATTCCCTCAGAGGAAGTCATACGAACAACAAAAATCGGTAAACCCTGTGATTGACAAAGCTTATTTGACATGATGCAGCACCTAGGCTCATTGTAAAGTAGGCATGCAATGGGCTTCTCATGTAGCCCTTTACAAGCTGTAAAAACATATGCATGGTAATCTTTAAAGCGGAGTTCAACACAAAAGTGGACGCTAGCTTTTCTGCCTCCTATCCCCCCCCCCCCCCCACGCTGCCACATTTGGCACCTTTCAGGGGAAACTGGGGTACCTGGCTTTGACAAGTATCCGCTCCCACTTCCAGCTCAGTTCACCTAGGTGAATTGAGCTGGAAGTTCGGCCTCCCCTGCAGCCCTCTGGGACGTTTTACAGGTCCCAGAGGACTGCGGCCCAATCACAAGGTGCAGCACCCTTCATGCATGTGCATTAGGAAGTTGGCTGTGAAGCCACAAGGTTTCACTGCCGGTTTCCCTTAGTCAAGATGGGGGTGCCAGCACCCGACAGCGAATTGAAGAATCGGCTCAGGGTGAGGACATCGCTGGATCCCTGGGCAGGTAAGTGCCCTAATATTAAAAGTCAACAGCTGCAGTGATATCCTATATTAGTGCCGTGCATATATCTCCATGCACTGTACGCAATCTACTAAGTGCATCAAAAAACATATAACTTAAAACGGAGCTCCACCCAATAGGGGAAGTTCCACTTTAAGGACTGCTCCCCCACTCCCCATTAGGGATTGGCACCTTTGGGGGGCGGGGCGGGGGGGAGCGGGTACCCAAATTTGACAGATACCCGCTCCCACTTCCGGTCCGATTGCCTAGGGCGGCAATTGGAAGCGGAAGGTGTCCTCCCTCGCTGTAGTCTTTTGGGACACATGACAGGTAGCAGAAGACTACAGGGCCATTCATGAAGCCCACCGCTACTTGCGAATGCTCTGTGGGTACCCGGCTGTGAAGCCGCAAGCTGTCGCAGCCAGGTGCACACACTGAAGATGCCGACCTCCTGGAATACAGGACGGCTGGTGAAACGGGCTGTGGGGGACACACCGAGGGACAGGTAAGTGGCTGTTTTTTAAAAGTCCGCAGCTACAGTTTTTGTAGCTGCTGACTTTTATTTTTTGACAGGGTGAGTGGAAGTCCACTTGAAACATTTGTGAATGGTATAATGACCACAACTTTTAGTCCTTCATACAGTATGTGATAATGTCCGTGCATATATAAAAAACTGTGTGCCAGATAGGTGTTCCTTTTTTCCTTGTGTCCACATATATTCTTAGATGTGCTCCTCCTGCAGAGACATAGTTATACTCTCACCTCCTTCTATGACCCAAATTGCATAGGTCATATAGCGCTTTTCCCTTTAACCCCGGTAGGTATTATTGTATTGCTAGCTCCACTCTCCTCCTCACTCTGCTGCAGATGATCTCGCCTCCTTCTTTATCCCTCATATCCTCCGCATATGTAAACAGAAACGCTTGACATAGTGTAGTACTCAAATACTGTATAATTTATTAAAATAACAAAGTGCACTCACATATAAAAGTGTCCTGCTGGGACACCACAGTAAAAACACCTCTCAAACATTAAATCCAGTGCATTCCAATTTGTTTTTTGATGCACTTAGTAGATTGAGTATAGTATATGGAGATCTATGCGCAGCACTAATATAAGATATCACTATATATGTATGTGGAAACACATGTAAGTGTCAGCAGCACTAGTGTACACAGGAGGTTCGTTTTTTTTGTGCTGAAGTTTTAATTGTATACGTCAACAGATACAGTATTTGTAGCTGCTGACTTTTAATTTTTTTTGTGGGGAGGGGGGCGCGGGGGCCAGAACTGCTTTAATGCCAAAAAAGGACCGAAACATTGTTTTGTTTTAAAAAAAAAAAAGTTTTTTTAGCTGCTCTGTGTCCTCGAGACATCTAAACCATTCCCTGTTATTAAACATCATGTTTGGGTGGAAGACACTGCTAGACTGCTGCCACTTGAGGCAGGTTTCTATATGAAGGGCATAGTGGGAATTGCTGCCAATGGGTTATATCCTAATTGTAAGTGATAGACTCCACTGAGATTTAGGGCTGCTACCTTTCTGATAACGACAATGGGGGCCATTACTGCAGGGAACACTTGGGTATTTGAAGAGGAACGTCTGGGGGTTTATTTACTAAAGCTGGAGAGTCCAAAATCAGACTCCCTTCTGCATAGAAACCAATCAGCTTCTAACCTCAGCTTGTTCAATGAAGCTTTGGCAATGAAACCTGGAAGCTGATTGGTTTCTATGCAGAAGGGAGTCTGATTTTGGACTCTCCAGCTTTAGTAAATAAACCCCCTGGTGTCCAGAAAAATGTCTTACTTGATGATTTTTATAGTTGTTTATTAAAGATAAAAGTATACAAATGGAGCCAATGCTTCAGGGCTGTATTTCTTTGAGAATGGCTAAGCTCTGAGAGGGTTAAATATATTCAATCAGTGGCTCTGCAGTATGATGGCATTGTGGAGCAGAGGCAGCCTAGAAATACAGCCCTGAAGAAGGAGGAGGCAATGGCTCCCGAAACCTGTCGGCTCCACTTGTATAATTTTCTCTTCAGTAAACTGCTATAAAATTCAAGTGAGACATTTTTCTGGACACAGGGCGCTCCTCTCCAATTACCCAACTGTTATTAGACAGGAAGTGAGGAGAATCTTTTCAGTGGGGACACACATGAATGTTACACACCCTGTAAGTGTATGGTTGCTTAGTTGAGGAGAATTGTTTTTTTTACTTCCTGTTGTGTCCTGACACAAGGAGTTTGAGAAAACCTGTACAGCAGAGATGCAGACAGCAATTGAAACCTCATTGTAAGTTCTATAACTTTAACTTTGTATTAAAGATAAATAAAATAGTTTGGGCCTAAGTTCCTTTTCAAAAATCCTGATTACTGTTAGGCTAATCATAGATGGATAGATGTCTCCCTAAGATGTCGGATTTGTGAACAAAGTACTAATAAAGCCAATATTAATGCAGCATTATAGTATAATAGTATTTTCTACCTCAGACTGCACTGACTTTTATGGAAAATAATATGTTTTTGGGTTTTTTTTAACTTTTATTTGGTGGTCACAGCTCCCTTGACAGTCTTTTTAATGAGGATGTGTCTGTATAGCCAACATCAGTCACACATTCGACGGGTAAGCATGTTCTCTATCTGTGTGCACTGGTTTCAGAACCTGTAGGCCGCTGTCATGCAACACAGGAGGGTTGGGCAGGGGGGATCAGGGTTAGCTGACTAGAAAGATAAAGGCACTCTTTGTGCTGGCACAGTGTTGCATCTCCAAGGAGGAAATCAGATATGCAATCTGACCATAGCAGCATGAATCTACTTCTGCATGGTCAGAATGAAACAGAAACAAAGGGGAAATGGCAGAATCATTAGGTATTGCAGAGCAAATTTAACAAAAAGAAAACACAGACTCATATATATTCGGATCTGAATATTTGGGGGTAGTATACATTCTGGGAAATGATTTGACCCTGTATTAAAAAAAACTTGTGATATCAGCTGGCTGAAATAGACATACTGTATCTGTCACTTGGGATTCAGTGTTGTACTCAAAGTGGAACTGCACTGCATCTGAGCATCACAAAGCAAAAATGCTATATAATTCATGTTTGATATTCAAAGCAAACTCCTCCATCCATCCATGTCTCCATGCTTTATTTTGCTGAGAAATCAATTCGAACCCCCTCTTCCCCTAGCATTTCTGGCTGTTGCCATCTTGAGTAAGGGCAGATGATTTATGTAACATTGACTTTCTGGAATCCATCTGTCTTTAGTTCAGGCATACAACATAAGGCTGGACATAAGTATTTGAACACCTAAGAAACAGCAAGAATTCTGGTTCTCAAAGACCTGTTACTGTGCCTTTTAAAAAGTCCACCTCTACTCCACTCATTAATCTAACTTAGTAGCACCTGTCTGAGCTCTATAAAGACACCTGTCCACCCCACAGTCATTCAAACGCCAACTACTACCATGGGCAAGACCAAAGAGTTGTCAAAAGACACCAGAGACAAAATTGTGGACCTCCACAAGGCTGGAAAGGGCTATGGGGCAATTGTCAAGCAGCTTGGTGAAAATAGATCAACTGTTGGAGCAATTGTTAGAAAATGGAAGAGGCTAAAGACGACTGTCAGTCTCCCTAGGACTGGGGCTCCATGCAAGATCTCACCTCGTGGGGTATCACTGATGGTAAGAAAGGTGAGGAATCAGCCCAGAACTACAAGGGAGGAGCTGGTCAATGACATGAGGAGAGCTGGAACCACGGTTTCAAAGGTCACTGTCAGTAGAACACTATGCTGTCATGGTTTCAAATCATGCATTGCACGGAAGGTTCCCCTGCTCAAGTCATTACATGTCCTGGCCTGTCTGAAGTTTGCCAATGACCATCTGGATGATCCAGAGGAGGCATGGGAGCAAGTCATGCGGTCAGATGAGACCAAAGTAGAACTTTTTGGTCTAAACTTCACTCGTCGTGTTTGGAGGAAAAAGAAGGATGAGTTGCATCCCAAGAACACCATCCCAACTGTGAAGCATGGGGGTGGTAACATCATGCTTTGGGGGTGGTTTTCTGCAAAGGGGACAGGACGACTGCACTGTATTAAGGAGAGGATGAATGGGGCCATTTATTGTGAGATTTTGAGAAACAACCTCCTTCCCTCAGTCAGAGCATTGAAGATGGGTCGTGGCTGGGTCTTCCATCATGACAACGACCCGAAGCACACAGCCAGGATAACCAAGGAGTGGCTCCATAAGAAGCATATCAAGGTTCTGGAGTGGCCTAGCCAGTCTCCAGACATAAAACCAATAGAACATCTTTGGAGGGAGCTGAAACTCCATGTTGCTCAGCGACAGCCCCGAAACCTGACAGATCTAGAGGAGATCTGTGTGGAGGAGTGGGCCAAAATCCCTGTTGCAGTGTGTGCAAACCTGGTCAAGAACTACAGGAAACGTTTGACCTCTGTAATTGCAAACAAAGGTTTCTGTACCAAATATTAACACTGATTTTCTCAGGTGTTCAAATAGTTATGTTCAGCAGTTCAAGACAAATAAATTATTTAAAAATCATACAATGTGATTTCCTGAATTTTTTTTTTTAATTCTGTCTCTGAGTGGGAATGCACCTACAATGTGAATTTCAGACCCCTCCATGATTTCTAAGTGGGAGAACTTGCAAAATTGCAGGGTGTTCAAATACTTCTGTTCCTCACTGTATATGCAGGAGGGTGTGCTTAGCTGAGAAAATCCCTCCTTCCCTCCAAAAGGCTTCTGAGATGTATGACATAATTTGCCTGGGCAAGAAACCAGGAAGTAACTGAAGAAACATAAAAAAAAAGTGGAAAACATGTAAATATGATATACGTTCCTATCTATTTACTAATGCTAGCAGCATAAGGATTAATAATAGTCAATGTTGGTTGAGAGAGTGAAGTTCCACTTTACCATACATGTAATGTTGTTTTTTATATGTAATGTTCTTTTCCTACTTTAAGGTGAGGCAGTGGAGGGCCTGCAGACACACTCTGATAATGAAGTATCAGAATTAGCTAAAGAAGTTTATTCACAATGGGAAACATTTTTAAGAGAAAACCGCTGCAAACCCACCATAGAAGTTAGAAGTGATGCTGCTACAGAGAAACTACGTAACAATGCAAGGCGAATGTTGTGTGAAGTCCTAGAAAAGGAGGTAAGGAGCCATCTTCTTCATAAAATACAATCCTAGTCCCAGAAAAGTTGGAAAAATGTGTAAAATCTACATAAAAGCAGAATGCAATAATTTGCAAATCTCATATTTTATTTGCAATAGAAAATATGAAATGTTTAAACAGAGAAAATGTACCATTTAAAAAAAAAAAAACAGGTCATTTTGAAATGGATGGCAGCAGCACATCTCAAACAATTTGGGACAGGATCATATTTATCACTGTGTAGCATCACCAACACTCTGTAAACATCTGGGAACTGAGGAGATCAGCTGCTGACATTTTGTTTTCCATGTAGACTTTATACAGCATCCCAATTTGTTTTGGAATTGGGCTTGTACATGTAACAGGATTAAAGTCTATTTGCTGTTATGTATATTGTAGGTCGTAATGAAAGTTAGAATATTCCATATACCGTATTTTCCGGCGTATAGGATGACTTTTTATACTTAAAAACATACCCAAAAAATCGGGGGTCGTCTTATACGTGGGGTATACAAAGTGAACCTTTAGTTCATTTGGGCCAAGCTGGATGAATGTCCCTAATCTGTCAGCCCGCTGGATGTGCAATAATACTGTATGTACGTAGCTACGGCTGCATACAGTATACCGTGCTGAGCCAATCACAGCGAGCGATGTATTCTATTAATGAATACAAAGCCTGCTCGGATTGGCTGAGGTTGTGACATCATCAGCCCGCCTCTCTGTCTCAGCCAATCCGAGCAGGCTTTGTATTCATTAATAGAATACATCGCTCGCTGTGATTGCCTCAGCACCGTATAATGTATGCAGCTGAAGCTACGTACATACAGTATTACCGCACATCCAGCAGGCTGACAGATTAGGGACGTTCGTTTTGAGCCAGCTTGGCTCAGCGTGGTATACTGTATATATACTGTATAGTGTATGTAGCCGCAGCTACGTACATACAGTATTACCGCACATCCAGCGGGCTGACAGATTAGTGGGTGTATATTTAATAAAATCTGATGTTTATTCAAATCTGATGTTTTTAAATGGTGTTGCCTCGGAAGGGGGGTAGTCTTATATGGCGAGTATAGCCCAAAACCTATGTTTTAACTGGAAAATTAGGGGCTTGTCTTATACACCCAGTCGCCTTATACACTGGTAAATACAGTATACAGTTTATATTTTTGTGGCTTACCTAAAGCTCAGCTCCAGCCAAACTTTTTTTTTCAGTAGATTAGAGAAAGGTGAAATCTACGGTCAGGGTTTTATTTCTGTCTGTATTCAGAACTCCCACCCCTAGAGATTTCCTTTTACTATTAGTCCAGGTGATGGTGGGTGTCAAAAAGAACATGAAATTAGAAAAGATAACCTGACAGAGGTTCTAACCCTTGTTTATCCTAGTTAATTTAAAAAGTATTGTTGGCATTAGGCACAGAGATTTTTGTAAGTGCTTATGTGAAAACAAATGTTACTTTATATATAAAAAATGTCTTGATCACTGTTCTATACTTTAAAATCAATAAGTTATTAATGCCAGATAGTACAGCTCCTGCTGTACTTAAGGCCTCCTCCAAGTATGAGAGCTGCAGCTCAGAGATGGAAGAACCGGTGTAATTTATTCACCCTGCTCCCCCTTTGGCCATTCACCGAATGCCATATATTCAAGTCAAGGAATTCATGGCTGTGAACTGTCCTGTTTCAAACCTTCTGTGTTAACTGTCCTAGCACAGTATAGAAGTGTCCACTTCAAAGGTGCATGCAAATGCTGATACTTGTTAACACTTTGCTTAATTCTGGATACAGCATGCAGGAACCTATGTGGATAAAATACACAGAACAGCCCCGATCCTTCTCTTCTCTGGTGCCCCACTGTGGCTTATGGCTCCTCATCCTCACCAAGTTTCCCCATAGCAAGCCTCTTGCTATGGGGGCATTCGTGCGTGCTCGCTCCTTAGCAGGCTCTGTGTGTTCGGCTCTTTGTGTCCAAGCAGGCTCTGTGTATCATATGACGTCCACCCAGTACGGTGAATGTCCTGCCTGGTCTTCATTTGTCTATAGGCCGGACGGGAACTGGTTAGATTACACAATAGGGACCCATTTGTTACTGTTATGTGCAGCCTTAACGAATCCCTAACTGCACATTGCTAGAATGATATATTCTTAAAGGGTAGCTAAACCTAAAAACAAAATAGTACTACTTTCCAGTTTTCTAATTCTTAGATGTGGTAGTTGCATTAGTCAAATTCTAAGTTACCTGAACACAAATTTCCTGCTACTTCCTCTCATTTTCTGCTTTGTCTGCAGGAGAGAATATTAAAATGTGTCTATACCCATAAAAATGTTTTTTAAAGAATGGGGAATGGTTAGAACCCTTGTCAGGTTTTACTGTTAACAGGGGCTCCATTAAGAAGATTTCCCCTCACTCCCTGTCCTGGGGACAAGCTTTTACCAAACATGAAATGAGCAAAAATCTGCAACAAGGAAACGCCAATAAAAGACTCATAGAGGTTCTAGCATTCCCATACTTAACTTAAGGCGGTATTAAACCCCAAACCAAAAATGTAATATATTGCAGCTTACCAATCATTAGATGTGGTGGCTGTATTCGTTTTTTTTTTTTTGGTTTAGGCTTTTTTCCCCCCTTTGTTTTCCCCCAGTAATCTGGGCAGTAACATACCTCGTGCATTAAAGAGACACCACTCTGGATGAAGGAGAACAGGGGGCACATGTGCACAGCAGCATTGTTTGTCTGGGTGGAGGGGAGGGTAAGATGTACTAGCAGATTTAAATATCCTAACAAACTGAAGCTGAACTGCAGCTAATACTTTATAATCAGTTACAGAAAACCTTTTTTTGGGATAAAGTTTTTCCATAATTAAATAAAGGAATGTCTCCAACAAGACTTCTAACTTATTAAAACCTGGCAGGAGTTCAAATCCTTCCCCGCTGTATCATAAAAAAAGTATATACACTTTAAATGTTCCTGATGGCAAATAGCTTTTTGTTGTGCTAACAGAGGTTTGAATACTTACTGTATCCAAGAAAATATATATACAGCTAAACAGAACCTGTAATACACGAGGGTTAATATCCACTTATACTGTCACCCATTCTTCTGTTCTGCACTCCAGCTTTTCATATCCTACTTACACTTTCAGGTGTGGTGGATGCCTTGGTCCTCCCCTGTGCCCTGTGGTTCTTTCTGATGGACCCTATGTCACAACAGAACTCAACAGTGCTCAGAGAAAGGAACCAGAGTGCACAGCCAGGGACCAAAGCTTCCAGTCTAACTGGAAATGTTGAATGTGAAGGTTCTTTAGGTTGGCTGAAGCACTTGAACAGGTCAGGTAAGTATAAACCCTCTTCTACTGCAGGTTCTACTTAGCTGCATTTTTTTAAAGAATAAGTTTCATTAGGTTCCTAAACATATTATACATACATTAGTAATACCTCATCTGGAATATGCAGTTCAGTTTTGGGCACCAATTCACAAAAAGAACATTGGGGAACTGGAGAAAGTACAGAGAAGGGCAACCAAACTGATAAGAGGCATGGAGGAGCTCAGCTATGAGGAAAGATTAGAGGAACTGAATTTATTCTCTCTTGAGAGAGGAGATTAAGGGGGGGAGATTAAGGGGGGATATGATCTCCATGTATAATACATAAGGGGGGATATGATCTCCATGTATAATACATAAGGGGGGATATGATCTCATGTATAATACATAAGGGGGGATATGATCTCCATATAGTGAACTGAACTTGGTGTAGAGTTATTCCCCCTGAGGTCATCACAGATGACAAGGGGGCACTCCTTATGTCATCTGTAGGAAAAGAAATTTAATCTCCAAACATGGAAAGGTTTCTTCACAGTAAGAGCTGTGAAAATGTGGAATAGACTCCCTCAAGAGTTGGTTCTGGCCAGCTCAGTGGATTGCTTTTAAAAAGGTCTGGATTATTTCTTGGATACAAAGAATATAACTGGTTACTAACATTTATAGGTAAAGTTGATCCAGGGAATATCCGATTGCCTCTCGGGAGATCAGGAAGGAATTTTTTTCCCCTGCAGGAGTAAATTGGATCATGCTTTGCTGGGTTTTTTTGCCTTCCTCTGGGTCAACTGTGGGTATAGGATTACAACTTTTTTTTTTTTTTTTTTTTTTTCTTTTTATGGTTGAACTGGAAAGACTTTTTTTTTTTCAGCCAGACTAACTATGTAACATACAGAAAATGGCAAGCAAGGATTAGTACAGGAGGATCAACAAGACAAAAGGCCAGCTATGAGAGGGATCCATTACAGACGGGCAAATGAGATGGGCAACATTTCTTAACAAATATAAAGCAACTTAAAGGCAAATGTATCTGTGCAGTTGTACCTTATGACCCAGGGGCGGACTGACAAGTCATGGGGCCCCAGGGCAATAGGGGATCATGGGGCCCCTGTGTCCTTGCTCAAACTCAAAAAAGCCTATGAAAAAGGTACCAGGGGCATCTCATGGGGCCCCCTACTGACCCAGGGCCCTCGGGCAGTGCCCGAGTTTCCAAATGGTCAGTCCGCCCCTGTTATGACCACTATGAATGTAAAGAATAGAGCACTCATCATCATCTCCATCAACTCAAGTTATTGAAGGGTAAGAAACGTAAGTCAGAAAAAAAAATGAAGAAAGCAGAATGTAGGAGAATATAAAAGGTAAAAGAAAAAGACAGAGAGAAGATGGCTATCTGGTTGGAAGTCTGGTTCTTAATGTTCTTGGTCAATGGCTGCAGCAGATTGTAATAGTAGCTACATTTTTTTATTATGCAGCTACAGAATCATTTTAACATCAGAATAAGTAAAGTTCAACCATAGGCATATCATAACAACATATACATTACAAAGGGGAAGCAAAAGCGTAAAAAAAGCAAATTTCACTTGTGTTTCATTCATAATCATAATTTTACATTTCACATTGCCCCAGACTATCCTGTACAGGAACTGAGCTGGTGATGGATTATCCTGCAGTTTGCAGGTCATTCAACTGTAAGGCGTTACGCAAATTGGTTGCGTGGTTCCTAGCTGTGGCACTGGGGAGCTTGGAATGCTGTGTGCAGAGCCAGCTTGCATGGAGGAAAAGTGGCCAGAAAAAAACTATAAGTTGTCCATCAGAGGAGACAACAGTATTGTTCATATCTCCTCCCCAAAATGGAATGTCCTGCTGTAGTCCTTGTGGATGCAGCTGAAGTAAAGGTGACAGTGCTGTCATTTCTCAAGAAGCAGTCTAGCGTTGTCACCCTCTAACACTAAAAGACATACAGCAGATAGCTCTGGCAGAATCAACAGTTATGTACTAGTAGGATTTGCAGGGATGATAACAAAGTGCAAAATACATATGGGGTTAACTTTTTATGCTGAACAACATATCAATGTCTAATTTTGCCAGTCAGACAAATGAGGAAAAACTAGATTTGACTATGTCTGTCTCTTTAATCAGGTTGGTGACTCTTTGGCTGAGTGTATCGAACGTGAAGTCTTCCACCAAAGTTCCCGGCTGATCAATGTTCACTACCGAAGGACGGTGCGTGCCCTGGTGTTTGCTTTCAAACACAGGCCAGAGATAAGATCACAAGTGAAGGATGGACACTTACCTGTCAATAAGTTAGTGCAGACTCATAAGAAGTGATATGCTGCGATCATAAGGACTGAGCATGGCCTCAATCATTTAATTCAACAAACATCACTGAGCAGATACAGGTGGCCCTCATGTGTCTTCATTCAATACAGGAGGATGTTCTGATTTAAGTCCAAATGTTTAATAATGGGATTAATTCCCACTGATTGAGTAATGGACAATACATGCGGAACTGTCTATGTAATAACTGCAGTTATTTATTTTTGTACTTTTTTTTAACATGAAATAAAAATGCAGCTTGATCTTAAAGCATGGTATCCTTGGTTTTTGGTTGTTTAATAATGGTTTATTTAAAAAGGTAAGTGATGGATGATGTGTAATCTGTTTTTTTTCATCTTTGATGACATTGATTCTGTCATCCTTTGTTCCTCAGTGATATTTTATAAAGTTATTTTGTAGCACAATAACTTCAGTGGTGACATCATTTAGGTAAAACTCTTCAATTATTGAGACCGTATTATTTTATATAATATTCAGCTTTTCAACAGATGCAGTTTGGCAAAAACCCTGTGACTAACTCTCCATTGACAGTTTCACTGTCAATGGTTCCACTGGACTATTTGCATGCTATGGTAAATCTCCTCCTCCAATGCCCGTCTCCAGGACTTCTCCAAGGCTTCCCCCATCCTCTGGAACACCCTACCCCAATCCATCAGACTATCACCTACTCTCCTCACCTTGAGGCGCACCCTGAAAACCCATCTCTTCAGGGAAGCCTACCCCGCCCTCAGCTAACTGCCGATCTCCTCCACTCTTCCTACCACTCCATCCCCCACAGCTATCCCTTCCGTACCACTTTCCCCTCCCTCCTAGATTAAAAGCTCCAAGGAGCAGGGCCCTCGAACCCCTCGTGTATTGAATTGTATTGTTACTGTACTATCTCATGTACTATCTCCCATTATAATGTACAGCGCTGAGTAAACTGTTGGCGCTATATAAATCCTGTATAATAATAAATCGCATGTGAACTGGTACATTGTGAAAGCTTATAGGCTGTTCCTTGTGACATGAATAGAAACAAGTGAGTACAAGATCATGTATGATGTAAAAGGTCAACAAAGGACAGAAGTCATCATAGAACCCCATGAACTTCTTTTGGAACTGTCTCTTGAGCAGTTTCTGTAACAGAAGACCGGCCCATAGACTTCTATAGGGGCCTACTGTGCAGGTGCAGCCAGGATAGAGATTACTTCCTTTGGAGATGCTTGCCACAGTCATCCATATTATACATGTAAGAATATATCTGCGGTGTGGGAGCTGGTGGTTGGTTTAGGAAGGGGCCAAAAAATATAACTACTTTTTATGAAAAGGGCACTTGCATTGCATAGTAGGTACCTCCAGCTTTCCTCATCCCACAGCTCTACTTCTCAGAAGAGCGATCACAAAGACCAGGTTGCTCTGCAGACCACAGCAACTAGCTCCTATAATCATGAGCTACAAGTAAGTGGCTATTTGCTAATGTATGCCTACGGGTTTGCTTCAACATCTAGCACCAGAAGAGAATGCAATAACCTTGCTATTCCAGCTCTCATGATAGACATCAAAATAGTCAAATATATGATAATAAATATGAACCAATCAGAAACCAGCTGTTACTTTTTTCAGATGAAAAAAAATTTTCTAAGCAACTGACTGGTTGCTAAAGACAGCACTCACTTTCCTTTTCTTGTTTTACACATGGATGAATGTTTCTCCAGAGACTTCCCTGGTCAGTGGCCTTCATTCATGTATTTTTACTTTATGACTTGGTCTATAGGAGGGAGAAACAAAATCATCAAGCCTCTTTAGTAAACTATAGAACAAACTTTGGAACTAAACTGAATCATGAGCTCAGCAGACTATAATCGGATTCCTTTGTGTTCATGCACTTTGAACAACATCAATACAAACAAGGTACAACACAAAAAATATCCCAAATTATAGCATAGAGGATGCAGTGTACCTGCCCAGGGCTCTTGTTTTCCATTCTTGTATTCCTTTAGTATACCAGGTTACCTCACTGTAAGCCCCTTTATTATCAGTAACCTGATGTTCTGGGAACACCTAATCCAAATTTTGTAATTGTGCAAGTTGAGGACACTTAGGGGTTTATTTACTAAAGCTGAAGAGTCCAAAATCAGAATCCCTTCTGCATAGAAACCAATCAGCTTCTAACCTCAGCTTGTTCAATGAAGCTTTGACAATCAAACCTGGAAGCTGATTGGTTTCTATGCAGAAGGGAGTCTGATTTTGGACTCTCCAGATTTAGTAAATAAACCGTAGTTTCACCTAGAGGAGTCGCTTTGCAGTTGACCAATGCTTAGTCTGCCACTAGAAAATTATTTTAAAATCAACTGATTTGAGTAGTTTTTCCGAGTTTGCCCTTTTGGTGATTTTCCTGGTATCCTTAGAAGTCTACTAGTTGCCTAGATTTGCTTTAGATAAATGTAACCTGGCATAAAAAAGATTATGTAAGCAGGCTCCAAGTGATGGCTACACATAACTTTAGTTCTGTGGAAAGTGGCTTCTGGGAGAACCTTAACTTGGATGTATACAACATGCAGTCAACAACTTTTGCTCCAAGTCATAGTTGTGGTGTCACCCAGCATCCTGCATTGCATACATTTCTATTGGCTATTGAATTGTGCACATTGGTGATGTGCTAATGTTTCAGCTTGGAGCTCAAACCAAAGTCTGCTTGTTGAGTACATCCAAGGTCTCCTGAGGAGGACAGGAGTTTCCTTCCACAGAATTAAAGGATATTTGTAGATGCTTTTGATGCCTTTTCTCAGGGACTTGTATCAATTCAATTTTTCGTTTGTTTTGTTGTGTTCTCAGCTTCTGGATTTGCCAATCTTTTCTTTAGAAATACCCAAGATGGAGTGTTTCTTCTTTAGCTGTAGAAGCTTAGTTCGTCATAGCACCTAATTCTTCCAAACCTTCCTGCTTTGTAATGATTGTTGTAGTAATTATGCTGATCATCATCTGAGATATATGGTTACAGCAGAACCAGTCCCACCACAGCAATGATCATGAGGACTCCAGCCAATATACAGATGCTGATGAAGACCACGTCACTGCTATCCTGCCCCCGATCACTGCTCTCTGATGCCTCTGTCTCTGGAAGTTGGGACTGCTCAGTATTCTCCACCAGTCCTTGGAGCTGGGCCGGGTCTGAACCAGACAGGATACGTACAGAGGCTTCTTTCCTCTTGGGTTCACACTGCACCTCGTACTGATGAATGTCCTCCTGAGCGCCCAGAGAGAAATCTATATAAAGTGTGCTCACAATGACTGAGGTGTTGTTCCTTTTCTGCAAGAAAAGAAGAGACATCACAATCAAAATAGGTTGTCTTTTGTATTGCAAGATTATATTATGGGGCATGCAATGCATTAGAAGCAGATGTTCTGCTAAATATTAAGGTTGTGCTCTGAAAGAGATTCTCCATAAAGGAGTTCAAGTCTAAATTCAGCTGAAATTTATTTTGCTGTTGCTGGCCACTTTATCATCACTGGGAACTTTCTCAAATTGGGACACACTTGTAGACAAGTGCAGTCTTTTCTCCACTGCAGGTGGCACTCAATTGCAGTGGCATTGCAGGAGGAGAGGAAGCCAGGAGGAAACTGTTCCTCTATGGTTTTCTGGGTCACTGGGGAAGCCTTCCGGTTGGATGTTGCCATCCCATGTGATTCTGGTGGCCATTTTGGGTCAGGCAGAGTCTATTTAGGACCCTGGCTCATGGGTTTATCATGCACTTTGTGAGTGGACAGTACAGGGACAGGTTAATCAACTGTCAGGGAAAGTGAATAGCAGTAAGGAAAGGTTCTGAGTGAGTAGGGACAGGATAAGGACACACTATCCTTTCCTGGAATCCTCCCAATTGGACACAGATGGGCCAGGCTGCATTCCACCCTCAGAAACAGACACTGTCAGCACTCAGGCCTTGCTCTGCAATACTGTTCAGAACTGTGAGTGTTCCCAGTTGAGTGTCCTCGCGCCGGGCTGTTTGTATCTTTGGGTCGTGACTTCAATAAATGTTCTGTTATTTGCAATTAAACTCTGTGGGGGAGATTTACTAAAACTGGAGAGTGCAAAATCTGGTGCAGCTTAGCATAGAAATCAATCAATTTCCAGATTTTATAGTCAAAACTTAATTGAACAATCTGAAGTTAGAAGCTGACTGGCTTCCATGCACAGCGGCACCAGATTTTGCATTCTTCAGTTTTAGGGAGAAAAAAAAAACAATGTGTTTACTGTCGCTGCACTGACAAGCAAATCAGAGGTTCTAAACACCTAAACATTGATAAGCACAGTTTTGGCTGTTTGGCTTCCAAAAGTAAAAGTTCATTGTCTGCTATATATTAAAGAACTCTACATGGTAAATTGTTTGCTTTTTCTTTATAAAGTAAATCTCTGCTTAGAGAAGCATTGTTTTTTTTCTTACCTACTTCTGAAAATACTAACCACTTGGCTATCATACTAATCCTACTAACTTGGAACACTCGAAACGTGGAACTTGCTCCAGTTCAGTTATTCATAGATTTTCCAAGCCATTAGACCAACATAACAGCAGTTTTTTTCAGGATCATGTAAGCCCCATACTGTATATACAGTATCTATGGATACAGGGTTTTGTTAACTTCATGGACCTCTCTTAGGGATTGTATTGCTGTTCCAGGCTTGCTCCTTATGCTAAGTATTTGGAGGAATCCAAGGTCTCCAGCATTCATTCAGTCCATCATGCATTTCTTGTATGGGTTAGTATGGAGGTTCAGGCACTGGTAAATACAGGAATGTACCTCTTTCTGCTTAATGAATTTACTTACCTTTGGTTCTGTCCCACATGTATCAAAGCGGGCATAGATCTTAAAGTTACTGCCAGAGAGTTGAGCAGCACAGGCTGGTGTACCCAGGTAGATGTGGCTCCTCTCCAGCCGAGGGACAGACTGGCTCGGAATCTGGATGTTGAAGTCAGTACGGGTGCAGCTGACGTTAACAGGGACAACTGATC